AGGGATCGTGGAGGCCAGGGTTTAGGGTTCAAGGTTTAAGATTTAGGGTAAGTTTAGGGTTTAGTGACATTTAGGGATTGTGGTACGGTTCTGCTGCAACCTTCCTCATCCTCGCACCCGAAACATACTCGCATTCTAAAACGTTCGTCTCGCATCCGGCACCCTTGGCGCCAAACATGTCTAAACCCTAAACCCTAAACCCTAAACCCTAAACCCAGGAAGCCTCGACACCTCCCACCTCCAAATCCTAAGCCCCGACGCCCAAACCCATGAGCCGACGCTCAATCCTAAATCCTAAATCGACTATCTCATAAGCCCCTGTAAACCCTCTACATCCCCAAACCCTAAACCCTAAACCCGGAACCCTAAAAACAACCTCCAAACCAGTAAACCCATGAGCCCAGGAGCCCCAAGAGATCTAGCACCCCAATCCGATGAAGCCCCCTATAAACCTTAAACCCGGAGTCCCCAAACCCGAAACCCTGAGTCCCCAAACTCTAAGGGTAGGGTTTAGGGTTTAGGGTTTAGGGTTTAGGGTTTAGGGTTTAGGGTTTAGGGTTTAGGGTTTAGGGTTTAGGGTTTAGGGTTTAGGGTTTATTGTTTAGGGTTTAGGGTTTAGGGTTTAGGGTTTAGGGTTTAGGGTTTAGGGTTTAGGGTTTAGGGTTTAGGGTTTAGGGTTTAGGTTTAGGGTTTAGGGTTTAGGGTTTAGGGTTTAGGGTTTCAACGGGCTCTTGGTATAGGCCCCTAATTGAGGCGACCTTGAATTTCTCCTTGTAGACCCTATGCAACCCAAGGGCCCATACTTCAGAAACCATTTACGGAAGGCAAAGGACCATCTTAAGGGACCATGCAGCACTGTGAGTGTCAACGGGAAAATCGGCGAGATAATGAGCCATCAGCTTGATGTACTGATAGTAGCGCAACTTCAAGGAAAACGTGGAGCGATGCAAAGTATTGGTGCTTGTAGACCAAGAATTGATTTCAGCATGCAACGCTTCGTTGCTGGAAGTGCCACAAGGCAGAAAGTGAAGACGCTGTTTCGGCATAGAGTGCCGAACGCGGATGTTGTTCATCAGCCGCTCGAGTCTGACAGGGGCGCATGCCGCCCAAACGACTTCAACAACATCTCTTACCCTTAGACAAACCCTAAACCCGAAACCCCAAAGAGTCTGCCTAAACCCTAAACCCTAAACCCTAAACCCGAAACCCTAAACCGTAAACCCTAACCCTAACCCTAAACCCTACACCCTACACCCTAAACCCAAACCCTACATCCTAAACCCCTACGTAAGTCCGTAGAAGCTTCAAGGATTTTTCGGATTTGTTGTGGTCCGGCTTTCGTCTGAAGGGAACTTGAGGGTTCAATATTTCTTGGGCTTAGGGTTGTTGTGGGGTTTAGGGTTCAGGGTTTAGGGTTTATGGTTTAGGGTTCAGGGTTAGGGTTTAGGGTCAGGGTTTAGTGTTAGGGGCTTTTTATGGTTTAGGGTTTAGGGTTTAGGGTTCGGGGTTTAGGGTTTAGGGAATTAGGGTTTAGGGTTTAAAGTATCCGGTTTTGTCGAGTGCTTACGCGATTTTTTAGTTATTTTGAGAGCTTCGTCTGTGTTGTGTTTTATGGCCTACCCTGAACCCTAGAAACCCTACAAACCCTCAAACAAGCAGAGTAAAAGCAAAAAACCTATAAACCCTAAAACCCCAGCAAACCCTAAAAACTCTAAACACCCCCCCCCCCTATACAACCTGCAAAACCCTAAACCCTAAAACGCTCGAAGCCTCAACCCTCAGCCATAAACCCTAGAACCTAACCCTAAACTCTAAACCCCAAACCCTAAACCCTAAACCCCAAACCCTAAACCCTAAACCCCAAACCCTAAACCCTAAACCCCTATAAACCCTGAAGTAGGTTGCGGACTGCCTCTGGCTCGACGGCTCCGGAGCCTGCCACGGGCGGGAATCCTACAACCCCTCCAAGCACCACTCTTCGAACTGAGACACCCTAAGTCCTTTAGGGTTTAGGGTTTAGGGTTTATGGTTTAGGGTTTAGGGTTTAGGGTTTAGGCCTAAAGGGTAGGGTGTAGGGTTTATGGCCATAATGCCGGAAACCCCAAACCCCAAGCCCTTATACACATAATAGTACGATGTATCAGACATGCAATACAACAACATATGGCATAGTACAACCGAAGCTCTAGCAACATGTAGAACATTCTTGTCTGCGATCAGTTAGTGTTCAGAGTATAGGGCCTCACCCCAAACCCTAAACCCTAACCCTAAACCCTAAACCCTAAACCCTAAACCCTAAACCCTAAACCCTAAACCCTAAACCGGAGCAGTGCTAGCCATGTAGCGTAGTGATTCATGGGCACCGGAAGGGTCCTACAATGCACTGCCGGGCTCTTGGGCCTTACAGCCCAAAGGCAGCAGCTAAGCCCTAAGCCCCTAAACCCTAAACCCTAAACCCTTAACCCTTAAGCCCTAAGCCCTTAGGGTGGTAAGGACAGGGTCTCGAGTCTGTCGCTTCTCTGCAAAAGGGACGAAGCTTAGAGCAAGCCTGAACCCTGAACCCCTTAACCCCTAAACCCTAAACCCTAAACCCTAAGCCCCAAACCCCAAACCCCAAACCCTAAACCCTAAACCCCCAAAGCTTATAAATCCTAAGCCTAAGTTCTGGCTACAGAGCTTCGGGATTGGTTCATCATGGGACAAGGGAATGACCGTGGCAAACGGCAAGGTACTGTATTTATTTCACCGAGACCCTAAACCGCAGACCCCCAACCCGAAACCCCAAACTCCACAAACCCTAAAACCGAAACCCTAAACTCTGAAATAACCCTAAAGCCTCAAAATTAAACTAAACACAAGCCTTCCCGCTCAACCCCTTACCCTTGGTGGCCTTCATGCCTCCCGGTCGTGTGACAATCTGCACCTCTGTCCGGGCCAGGGCTTAGGGTTTGGGGTTTGCGGCTTAGAGTCGGGGATTTAGGGTTTAGGGTTTAGGGTTTGGGGCTTGGGATCTATTGCTTGGAGTGTGGTTTAGGGGAAGCCCCACCCTACATCGAGAAATTAGCCTCCAAGCCCTAGGCCCCAAGCCCTAAACCAAAAAAACCCAAACCCTAAACCCTAAACCCTACACCCTAAAGCCTAACCCTTACCCTAAACCCTAAGCCCTAAGCCCTAGGCCCTAAACCAAAAAACCCCAAACCCTAAAGCTGCATCTGCTCGCTGCAGTCAGCTCGGGGCCGGAAACTTTTTTAAAAGCCCTGAGAGAACCCTCAACGCGTCACAATAACCCCTATATACACGCCCGAATACACACACAGACACAAAGAATTCAACAACAAGAAACAAAAATGCCCCTAAACGTCCGAAACAATCACTGCGATTAACCCTAAAAAGCCCAGTGCAAAACAAACAAGCCCAGTCAACTAGACCCCTGCAAACATCCGGAGCGGGCGCAAGAACAACCACAACCAACCTGAAGAACACCCAACAATCCATAAGAACCAACACCTCAAACTTTACAAGAATGAACAATAGCCGAACCGAAAGACCAAAATCCAAAAGCCAAAAAGCCTAAACCCTAAACCCTAAACCCTAAACCCTCCGAGGCTCCGGCAGAAGGCCGGTGATCAGAGCCTTGGCAGCGAAGCTGAAGCTTGGCACTTCTCCCCCCCCCCCCCCCCGGGTGGGCTGCTTGGGGTCTAGGGTTTAGGGTTTAGGGTTTAGGGTTTAGGGCTTTGGGGCTTTGGGGCTTTAGTGTTTAGAGCCGGGGTTCTCGGACCTGTTCAGGGCTTATGTATGGTTTCGAGCGCCTGTACGGTTTCAGGGTGTAGGGTCTAGGGCAAGCCCTAAAGAAACGTTGTGGGTCGAGCCCGTTCTTCTCCAGAAAAGGTAAACTTAGACCTTTGTGCCCGGGTTTCACAATGAAACCACTCTACCCACTTCTACAGTCCTTAGAAATCTGTGTGAGCATGTGTCTGTAGAAATGCCTTTCAAGCCCTGTAAAAGGTACATTTTTTGTGTGAATATATATATATATAATATGTATGTAGAACGTTCGGCTAGCTATCTCTGTCTGCACCTCTTTCTGTGTCCACCCATCTGTCTATGTACCTGCCTGCCTGTCCACCAATCCGCCGATCGATCTGTGTATCGATCTCTCTCTATGCACTTCATCTACCTGACATATGTGAAATGCATAGAGTACTCCCCCCAACCTCCCCCCCGCGCACCCAGACTATACTCGTACTTGACCGTATGACTGTGACAGTGTAAGGGAAGTACCCTAAAGCTTATTCATACGAAGGCTGAGCTTTGCTTTGCTTTCCGTGTGGAAGCTGGGGGGGGGTGGGGTGGGGGTGTAGGGGGGGGTTTAGGTTTTGGAGAGGAAAGCCTCCATCTTGCATCCTGTCATCATCGCCCGAAGGAACGTTCTACGAGGGCTGCTGATGTCTGCGCGGATCAGGTGCATGGGACATTCAGGACGAATGCAACTAACGAAGCCCTAAACCCTGACCCTAAACCTTACACCCTAGTGTTGAGTTCTTCAGCGTTGAAAGGTTAGGATTTAGTGCCCATGGCGCATCGAACCCTCAACCCTAAACTATACTCATATGAGTCTTTCTACTCCCAAAACAGGCTTACTACTTTTCATTTTCCTTGTGGAAAATACAACAGAACTCCTAACGAGACTCTAGTAGCTCGACCCCGGCCCCAGAGACACGCGGCCAGGTGCGACATTTTGCGCCCAAGCAGCAACGAAAAGGCGTCTGCCTCGTGTTTTTGGCTACGAGATTCAGCCGGCTCTTCTGAAAGGTTTAGGGTGCATAGCGTTGAATGGGTTATCTTCGGTTGCAAAAACTTTGCTTCAAGGGGGTGAATAAGGGAACCCAAAGCCCCCCAAAAGGGAACCAGGGTACTCCTGGGCATCCTAGTTGTAACTGGGAGGTTCACAGCAACCCTAAACCCTAAACCCTAAACCGGCTGCCCAGTTCAACAACGCATCACCGGCTGCGCAGCACGAAGAGCGTGGTCAGCGCGATCATGCTTGCAGCAAGCACGGGCAACCTGGGCTGCGTGTTTGTCTGTTTGTCTGTTTGTCTGTAGGTTTAGGGTTTAGGGTTGAGGGTTTAGGGTTTAGGGTTTAGAATTTAGGGTTTAGGGTTTGGGGTTTAGGGTTTAGGGAAACCCTAAACCCTAAAACCTAAACCCGAAACCCTAACAAGCCAAGTCGCCAATTCTCAGAGGGCCATGTGCCTTCCGACCGGCGCATCTCCCTTTTCCAAGCGTCCAGATGCGCCTTCGCCTGGGCTTTTTTAGGGCTTCAGGGATGTTTTTAGGGTTTAGGGTTTAGGGTTCAGGGTGCGGTGCGGGTTTGCAAGGTGCAGGAGTCTACCTCAAGGCTCCAAGGTAGTTCCTTTTCGTTTTACTCGGTTCCTACACCCGGCTTCAGGGTTTAGGGTTTAGGGTTCGGAGTTTAGGTTGAAACTGTATATAGACCCTACACATGGGTGGTTGCCAAAATTAGGGCTCATTTTGGGCCACCCTAAATATTCGGTGCCGGATTACATTAGGGACCCCAAAAAGGGACCATACATAAATTTGACAGCCGCCAAAATCAAGCCTGAACTCCCCAAAGGAGTTTAGGGTTTAGGGTTTAGGGTTTAGGGTTTAGGGTTTAGGGTTTAGGGTTTAGGGCTCAGGTGCGTCGGCTTGAAAACAAGCGTTTACTGTTCAGGCTCCATCAAGTCGGCTAAACACCCTTAAGCACTACAGGACGCGGGCCAACCCTAAACCCAATCAACCCAATAAACCCAATAAACCCCATACACCCCATAAACCCCACAAACCCCATAAACCCCATAAACCCCATAAACCCCATAAACCCCATAGACCCCATAAACCCAATAAACCCAATAAACCCCATAAACGCCATAAACCCCATAAACCCAATAAACCAAATAAACCCCATAAACCCCATAAACCCCATAAACCCCATAAACCCCATAAACCCCATAAACCCAATAAACCCAATAAACCCAATAAACCCAATAAACCCAATAAACCCAATAAACCCAATAAACCCTAAACCCTAAACCCAATAGACCTTAAACCCTAAAAGGGCCTAGATCCTAGAAGCACCCTAGAGGCTCTCTTGTTGGGGAACTCAGCGGCAGAGGTTTCAGGGCCTCAAGAAGGGTACTTCTTGGCGGTCATGGCAGGGAATACCCTGATAGCACAAAAGCCCGCATGATGACGGCCCAGGCCCCCATGGTCCACCCCTGGAATTTGGGTCTGGAGTTTAGGGCAAAGGGTTTAGGGTTTAGGTTTAGGGTTTAGGGTTTAGGGTTTAGGGTTTAGGGTTTATAGGGTTTAGGGTTTAGGGTTTAGGGTTTAGGGTTTAGGGTTTAGGGTTTAGGGTTTAGGGTTTCAAAGCCCGAACAACCCTAAGCCAGCGAAAGAGGAACGACTGTCCACGTGCAGGCCCCGGGGCATAGTGCGGCTTCAACGAGTCCGTGGCTTCTTTCGTCGCCTCTCCCGTTGCCCCAAACACCCGACCTTGACCTCTTCACACGGGGCTGGCGGTCCATATTTTACTTGGAGGTGCATGGCTCTTATTAAACCACTATAACTGTACTTCTAACCCACTTCTATGCCCCTTCAATGCCCGAATATGGTTGTAAGTACAGCTATATGTACAGTTAGACTTGGTTAACAAGTACCTGAAAACCTCCAAGTAGACCTTGGGACATGGTCTACTGCAACTCAAGAAGCCTCGCTGGAGCACACGACCGCCCACCGCCCGCCTTGTTAAGACGCCGCCCCTGACAAGCAAACCCTAGCAGTTGATCCCTAAACCCTAATACAGGGGCCTTAAAAATTCGAATAGGGATTTGGGGGGGTTATTCTTGTATAATTATACAGGGGCCATAAGGGGATGGTATCAGTCATTATTCCGACCCCTATATTAACCTCCCCAAAAAAGCAGCCCACCAAGCACCTTGGCCGTGGCATCGTCCACCAGGAGCCTCAGCTGCAATTGACGTCAAAACCATAGAGCCATAACTTTCCCTTCTGCGCTCTATACTAGGGTTTATAAGGTTTAGGGTTTGGTTCCCACCTCAAGAGAACCTTAATCAGGCTTAATTATCCCGAAATAGCCTTCACTATGGGGGGGCACCTTGGGGGGGGGGGGGGGGGGGGGGGGTGGGGGAGTATAGAGGGGGATAGTAAGGGATTGGGATGACAATTGAAATCTTGGCATGCTTCCCTGTACTGAGGATAGGTGAGGAACACTCTAAAGCCTAAAGCCTAAACCCTAAACCCTAAACCCTAAGCCTACATCTAAGGGAAGTTACGTGGTCCCTTAGTCTGGGCCCTTCTAAGGGTACCCCTAATATGCCCCTGATATACCGATACAAATTAAGGGCCCATACATCAGAACCCTTTAAAGGAAGTAAGGGACCGTATTAAGGGCCCATGAAACTACCCTTAGAGGTGCGGGGTTGAAACCCTGCACCCTAAACCCTAAACCCTAACCCTACACCCTAAACCCTAAACCCTAAACCCTAAACCCTAAACCCTAGGTTCTGAAAGCCCTTTTTCTAGCTGCCCTACCAGCCTTTTGCCTAGCAGCAGCTCCTGTCCAGTGGAGGCAGCCAGCACCTGGATCATCGCTGCCCTTTCCAGGTAGTAGAGGTCGTCGAAGGCCTGATAGGTTTAGGGTTTGGGTTTTTGGGTGTAGGGTTTAGGGTGTAGGGTTTAGGGTTTAGGGTTCAGGGTTCAGGGTTTAGGTTTGGGGTTTAGGGTTTAGGGTCGAGGTGAGTCTCAGTTGCAGGGCTCAAGACATCGCATGGGTCTGTTGAGAGTTGTGATGTTTTTCCTTGGCAGCTTTGAGGACAAACTTTCCGTTTCAAGCGTCGGTCGGAGTTTGACGCACGGGGGGGGTGGGGGTCATGGACCAAAATTAGCTCGTGAAGAGCGCGCGGTGCCTGTCGGGGCCTTGTTTGAAGCGTCTTTGGAGGGTCTTAAAAACCCTTTAGAGGCTTTTGGAAGCCTTTTGGAGACCCCCACATAGGGGGAGCACCGCTTGATCAGAAGGTTTGGGCTACCGGCATTCTAGGGCGACCTGACGGGGCTTTGCCAGAGAGCTCCGTCGCCAGCCGGTGGCTTCTGGTTCCGGAGCCCCTAAACCCTGAACCCTGAACCCTAAACCCTACACCCTAAGCTCCCTCAGCCTGCCAGCTTCGGTGCGTGTGCCCTGCTCGACGGCCCCGGGGCTCACTCAGTTTAGGGATCGGAGGAACCCTCCTGCAAACCCCAGGCAGGCGCGGTGGCACATTCATAGCCCGCAGCACGAAGCCAGCAGTTGCTAATCGGCTATGCCCCTTTCGACCCTAAATACTAAGCCCCTAAGTGCCCTAGCCCAAAAACCCGAAATACCCTTAACCCAAAGCCGTAACACCCAACAACATCCAGCACATTGAAAGCCCTCAAAACCCCAAAAACCTACAGGCCCCGAAGCCCGAAAATCAAAACGCCTTACATGCTGAAAAAAGGGCCTGAATCTTGGTAGCCCAGTAACCATATCATAGCAAGGCTGCCCTATTTGGAACTCTATTTGCAACAGCACCTAGCAAAAAAAACCCTGAAAAACCACACAAACCTTACAAGACCGAAGCCCTGAACCCTAAACATCGCAAATCTTGCAAGACCTGAATAAAGCCTAAACCCTGAACCCTAAACCCTACACCCTGAACCCCAAACCCTAAACCCTAACCCTAAACCCTAAACCCTAATGATCTGACCTCGGCGACCGTGGCACCACAAACGATGACGCCGTGGTTGCGGTGGAGGAGTGCCAGCTTGTTGTCCATGGCCTGTCTTGTATAGGGTTTAGGGTTTAGGGTTGCGGACTTGACAGTTTCTTAGTGCTGTATACTTAACACCCTGAACCCTAAACCCTAAATCCTAAACCCTAAACCTAAACCCTAAACCTAACATTACTGTTTGGTTTTAGGGTGTAGGCGTTCGGTCGTTCGTAAGCCCCAAAAAAGTGTACACTTTCAGTTGTACCCCAAAAAGTGTAAAGTGTGCTCACTCAGACACTAAGAAGGGGTCGAGACTTAAAGTATGGCATATGGACCTTTTGCTTCCTATGCAGTTGAGCCTTCGCCAAACGGTTCCCCTCATCCTCTTCGCACACGAGGCCGTGGTACACTGGGTCGTAGGCCACGTCATCGTAGAAGCGTAGGCTGTTCCTGGGGCTAAACCCTAAACCCTAAACCCTAAACCCTCAACAACGAGTGGGAGCCCGAGTGCTCTAAAGGATATCGAGGCCTCTACGCCTCCAACACATTCTCCGCCCTGTCTTAGCCTTTAGGCCATGTTTGTCCCTAACCCGAAATCCTAGAGCCTGAACTCGAAAACCCTAAGCCCAAAACCCGAAACCCCAAACCCGAAACCCTACTAGCCCTAGAAGCCGAGTAAGCCCACTCTATGGTTCCCCGAGGCTTCATATCTCGAGGCCTAAGATCATGCTTTTCAGCTCTTTGAGCCCTAAACCCTAAGGGTTCATGTACCTTATTATTGAATACTTGGGCCCCAAAGTCCCTATATCGGAAGTACTTTAAGGCCCAAGTATTCTTTATTTAGATACATGGGCCCTTAGGGCAAAACCCTGAGCCCTACGAGCTGCACAAGCTTAAGGATTCGAGATGGAGTTCCGTGAAATTCCTTTCTTGAAGAGGGTTCGAAGTCGAGTTTCAGTAGGCCCCATCGAAACCCCATCGAGATCTCATTCCATTCCAAGATATGGGGTTGTAGCACTGAGCCCTAACCCTGAACCCAAAACCCAGCCCTAAATCTTTAACAACTCTGAAGGTCCAGTCCGCCCTCACCCCCCAAAAAAACGACGAACCTTTTTTCTGACTTAACCACCCCTTTTCAAAACACTCCCCCCCCCCCCCCCCCCCCCCCCATTAAAAAAAACACACACATTAGATCATAATCCGTATAAGTAAACAAGGCCCTTGGCGTGCCCTCCAAAAAACCTTGAACCCTCATCCCGAAAACCCAAACCCGAAACCCTAAACCCTAAACCCTAAACCCTAAACCCTAAACCCCCCAATGTGCCCCAACTACTGGGTATTTCCCAAAATTATGCAACTCGAGGGCAATTTACAGCTCTGCTTTATCCCTAAACCCTATACCCTACAAGCAACTAACGGCAAAAAGGCACCACTGGACTTCCCAGATCAAACCATATCAAAGCCAACCCTAAACCCTAAACCCTAAACCCTAAACCCTAAACCCTAAACCCTATAGACCCCAAACCCTAAACCCTAAACCTTAAACCCTAAACCCTAAACCCTAAACCCTAAACCCTAAACCCTAAACCCCCCCAATGTGCGGCGCCGGGATCTGGTTGCACATCTTCAGTGGGTGCTCCTCGCTCTTCGTGGCCACGCAACACAAAGCAGTCGCGTAGGGCCTTTGCTTGCGCTGCACAGCAGTAGCAGTAGCAGTAGCAGTAGCAGCAGCAGTAGCAGTAGCAGTAGCAGTATAGCATCAGTAGCAGTAGTAGCAGCAGTAGTGGGTCTTTCAAGCTTGAAAACTCAGGATGAAGTTAGGTGTTCTGCATCGAAATTCATCGGAGATGCATGTGGGTATGAAGCACCACGGCGTAGCGCCGTGGGTCCAGGTCGTGGATGGCGCGGTGGATCTCAAAGGCAGATATCTCGCAGTTGCCGCGCCCTTCCCAGGAGCAGGCTGGGAGCATAACACTCGGCAGTACAGCACAACTATCTGCAATCTACACCATCAACCTGAATCCTAAACCCTAAACCCTAAACCCTAAACTAAACCCTAAACCTGTGACATCCGCCTGCAAGGACTGTGCCATCATGAGCCACCTTCAGCAGCTTGTCTGGAGTCACTTCCTGGGATTGTATATGGAGGCGTTCGATAGGGGCCTTTCCCTAAGGCTCCAAGTATACAAACAATACCTACATTGGGGTCGAAAGTCGGTAAATAATACCTACTTTGGGCTATTTGGAGCCTTAGGGTTTCTTGGACATGCCACAAAGGGTTTTTATTGAGCTTGACATCTCTGCCTTTTTTCCGCTTTTCAAAACCTTCCTCAATGGGGCCGTAGGTGGAGGAAAAGTCTGCTGAACTTCCAGAGCCTAAACGGTTCCGCCCTCATGGCTCGATACGGCGACCTGAAATTGTAGAAGTCTCCCCACGTTGTGCTTATGGTTATAGACGACCTACACCCCTGAACCCCGATCCTACATCCTAGCTTCAGAGTATACACCCCAGGGTGTGCGTAAGGTTGAACTGTTCAGCGTGGACCCTATACCCTCCAGCCACGCATCCCACTTCAACAGCACAACTCAACGACACACAACACACATAACATAGCACAGCAAAAAACATATCAGGACATACCATGCTGTTGCGCAGAATAGTAGATAGCAACAGTTAAAGCAAAATCGTCAACAACATGTCACGGAGCAGCTTGTAATACTAGCCCTGAATGCAAACACACGCATGGGCACAACATGGCATATTTCAAGAAACCGGAATAGCAGCGACACAAACACAAATCGAGAAGGTTCAAGAGTTGGGGAGCAGCTGTCCGTAAACCCTAAACCCTAAATCCTAAACCCTAAACCCTAAACCCTAAACTGAGGGCGGCGCAAAACTTCAGCACTAGGGCAGCATGCCAAACTGCGTCCGACACCCGGTGGCGGCACAATACAGAGTATAAAGATAGAACACCGTGTCATCTAGCGAAGAAAACAATGGTGATTTTGGGGTTTAGGGTTTAGGGTTTTTTGGTATATCTTCTACAAAGTGCCCAACAGCATATGCCATGGCAAGCTGCATCTGAAACTGATCCTAAAGCCTAAATCCACACACCCTTATCCCATAACCCAAGCCCTAAACCCTAAACCCTAAACCTTAAACCCTAAACCCTAAACCCTATAATCCAAGAGGCTGACCAGAGGAGCCCATGCGGGATTACCAGGAACTGGTCGTCACGGCCCGGAATCATGGCCTCAAAGCTCAGTATGGGCACTGTAGCGGGGTTTAGGGCTTAGGGCTTAGGGGCTGCGAGCTTAGGGCTTAGGGTCAATCGGGCTTGTGGGAATGAAGGTTTAGCATTTTGTGAAACTTAGGGGTTAACTAGATTTTAGGGTATCAGTAGCTTGGGGGGCTCTGGACTCAGAAGGGTTCCCACCTTGACTTAAGGAATCTACCTCAATGTTAGATAGGCTCTAGGAGGTAGGGGTCAAGTTTGCGGCACATTTCTTAACTAAGGGGTATTGAGCTTTCTGGGTTCAGGAGTTTAGGATGCAGGGTTAACGTGGGTTTCGAGTCGAGTCTAGGGCCGAACATGCACAAGACATGAAGTCCGATCCCGCGAGCGTACGTTTTGGGGCTTAGGCGTCCGAGGGCGCCGGTCGCCAAAAAGAAACTACATTGGAACCTTCAGGTAGGGTTTACAGGAAGGAGGTGTGGGCGTGGGCAGGTCGAAGTGGTGGGCAGCGAAACCTAAACCCTAGACCCTCAACCCAAAACCCTAAACCAGAACCTAAGCCCAAGCGCTGTCAGATGGTTGCAGACGCCCTCATTGAGACCCATCCGATGGCAAAGCCGGTAAACGGCCGCCAAGTCCTGGTTTTCGGGTTTAGCTTAGGGACCCTAAGCCCTAAACCATAAACCCTTAACCCTTATACCCTAAGCCCTAAGCCCTAAACCTGATAGGGTTTGCTTCTTAAGATTGAGGGCCACCTCCTGCGTCTCTGAATCCTACACTTTGACAAAGGGCTTAGGTTTGGGGATTTGGGCTTTTGGGGTTCGGGGTTGAACACCCCCCCCCCCCCAACCAAAAAAAAAATACGTCTGAACAAAGAACCCGAAACCCTAAACCCCAAACCCTAATTGGAGAACGCTGCGCAGGTTTGGGGGGCATCAGGTTGTAAGTCTCCAAGATGGCTCCATACAGTCATACATGCTCCCCCAACCCTAGATTTGCAAACTACAAATTTGCGAACTCGGCCAAATAACCTCACATGCATGAACACAGAATAACAATAACACTCTGATCTGAGATGTTTTGAATCATCCCCTCTCTCTCTCTCCCTCTCCCTCTCCCCCTCTCTCCCTCTCCCTCTCGCCCTCTTTCATAATCTCTTTCTTTCGTTCCTTCTCTCCCTCTCTCTCTCTCTGTATTCTTCTACAATTTGAAAATTATTATTTGTTGCGTCTCTTTGCTTTTCTCTCTTTCTCTCTCTCTCTCTCTCTCAACTTCACTCCCTACATGCGACCCTAAACCTTTAAAAGTGAAACCTACACCCTGCTGTACACCGCAAGCCCACGTGTCCATGTAAACCCGACGCAGCCCTTGAGATTTGTGATGGCTCCCTCTTGATTCCGGTCGGAGGTGGGGACAAAGAGCCTCCGTGGTTCTAAGTAACGTATTCGGTGCCATGTAAGGGCCTTAAAGTTTAGGCTTTAGTGGTTCTAAGTAAGTAATTATTTTGTGACCTGTAAGGGCCCTTAAAGTTTAGGGGTTAGGGGGATATGAGGCAGCGAAACCCCCCCAATTCCCGATAACGAACTGTAGGTACTACTCACCCTCAACAGTGATCCCCGTACTACCCTACCTAGGTTTAGGGGAAGGGTGTCTTAGGTTACTCTGCTTAAAACTCATTTAGGGCCCTTACAACTCTAGGCACCAAAACCCACAACCCAAAACGCAAGCCCGAAACCCGAAACCCTAAACCTTACCAAGCCCTCACCCCCCCCCCCTTCACTGTAGGCTCCTAGGACTTGAGGGTTTCAAGGCGAATTTCTTCGGCCCTCGAAGAAAACTCCTACTTTTTGGCGCCTTTGGGGCCTGTTTTGGGGGCCCAAAAGCCTCGGCTCTGGAAAGCCGGGAAGGGGGGGGGGGTTAATATTTGTTGGGGGATTTAGGGTTTAGGGGCTTAGGGCCCCCCGCCCGCAGTCCTCCCTAACAGACGCCTCCGTTAAGGCAGCGGGCCGCGCCATGGCTGCGAAGTCGCGGGTCGGCAAACGCCCCCAAGGCTGGCGCTAGAGCTGCGCCTTCGGGTTTGAAAGCCCGGAGGTAGCCCTGACAACTTGCTGGAGATGAGGATTTCTCTAAGTTGTTTGGCGCCCGTATCCTCGGGTCGGCGTGAACAAACAGCATGTCTGGACCGCGCTGCGGGGCACTGAACATACGGCAGAGAGGTGGGTCTGGGGGATCGTACGTTGACTGCGCAGATGCTCGTCAAGCCTGGGCAGTGCGAGCGATGTGCTAGCAATGCGGGCTTCGGCTTTCGGGGTTTCGGGTTTAGGGTCTAGAGTTTTGCGTTTAGGGCTTGGGAATGTGCAGGCGACTGCTGAACAAGCCAGTACGGATAGAATCGAAGACTCTCCCTTGAACACTCTGTAGCCAGTGGCTTCTCAAAAACGTTATTTCATGGCCTTGAGGCTCTCTTAGGGTAGTTACATGGTCCCTTATAGGCCCTTAAAGGGGGCCCCTTTTATACCCCTTATACCCTGCACACATGAAGGGCCCATACTTCAGACCCTGTAAAGAGGTAAGGGACCATATTAAGGGCCCGTATAACAACCCTTCGAGGCTCCTGGAAACCCCAAACCCCATACACAAACACTATAAACCCTACAGACCTTCATAAACCTTACAGTGGGTTAAGGTTTGGGGTTTCGGGTTTAGGGCTTGCATATTGCTGTGTTCAGGCCCACTGTGTCATTGCGACTTTGCCAAAGCTCTGATACTGTTCAGGCCCTCATCATTCTTACGCCTAGGGGTTGCCATAAACACTGGAACCCTAAACCCTGAACCGCTAAACCCTAAACCTTTCACACATGAACCCCTGAACCCCTCAACCCTAAACCTCACACCCCTGAACCTTAAACTCCCAACCCTTACACCCAAACCTTATTAAACCGCTAAACCGTAAACCCCAAAACCGTTGGCCCCCGAGGCGGCATTCTCGACAGCGCGATCGTTGCACTCGCGGCATCGTGGGCACGTGGTGGGTGAAACAAGTCCCTGAACCCTAAAAACCTTTAAACGCTAAATTCGTTTATGCTCGTTGCTCAAAGGGCTCGGGGGTGACCACCCCCCCCCCCCCCCCCACCCTCCCGATAGCCCCTTCGTAAGGGCCTTGTTGGCGGGGGAGACCCTATAACCCCAGAAACCCTAAACCCTTCAAAATGTTTAAAAAGGTTCGGGTTTATCAGCTGGGCGCGGGGGGGTTTTCGAGGCTTCATGGAGTTAGGAACCCTAAACCCTAAACCCTAAACCCTGAACGCTAAACCCTAAACCCTAAACGCTAAACCCTAAACCCTAAACCCTAACCCTGAACCCTTAAACCCTTAACCCTAAACCCTAAACCCTGGGTTTGGGAGGGCTTCCGGGAGGTAGGGACCTTGCGGCTTCGTTTGGGTCCTGTGCTGCCGCACTTCAGACGTCACATGGCAGCGGACTCATCGGAGTCCTGGCATCAGGCACGTGAAACCCTAGGCCCTGAGCCCTAAACCTAAACCCTAGCCCTAAACCCTAAACCCTGAACAACCCTGAACCCTAAACCCGAACCCAAAATCCCTGAACCCCTCACCTCCAAGCCGGCCCCCTCCTCCAGACTGTGACCCTTCCTGTGCATCAAAACCGGCTCTGGATCCCTACACCCAAGAAAAACTCCAAGAACCCTAAACCCTGCTACCCTAAACCCTGAACCCTGAAACCTGAATCCTGAACCCTACCTCTCTAGGGTCTACAGGGGGCACCTGCAGTGCGCGCCTTAAGCCCCAAACCCTCAACAGCACGCCACAGTGATCCGCAGCTACAATACCAAAGCACGGCGGTTTCGGGTTTAGGGTGAAAGGGGTTTAAAGTTGG